GTAACAGAAAAAAAGATCTGATGTCGCAATTTCTAAAAAAAAAAAAATTGTCAGTTTTTATTGCCACTACTGTAAATGGAAAATTGTTATTCGTGAATTATCAGGATGTGACACACCTTAATTAATCGTCATGCCTTTGAATACAAATTTGCAAAGCATTGAAGAAATGAGAACGGAAATCTTTCACTGTGAATGTCTCGATCTCGTTGGTGAAAAGGGCACCGTCGGTTTTATGCAAACAGATATTTTATCCGTTCGTTTGTTTAGATTGCAGGTATATTGGCCGGTCGCTCACAAAGAATATCTGAAATGATACTTCTTTCGGGACGGAACTTGCGAATCTCATGCTCAAGCAAGCATTAGATTAATGATAATCAACTATTTACCTTATCTTCCTGTGTTCACATCCATTTCGGGTTTTTCCTTCATTGTCAATTAAGAGCTAACCGAATTAATGAAGATCACCGGACGTTGTCTTAACGTGTAAATTGAAATCTTCGGAGCGACATCAGATTCCTAATGGTGTCGACCTGTTATTCACGTCACACAATCCCAGGAACAGGAAAAAACGCGAGTACCCAATTGCGGAATGAGAGAATGACCAAATTCGCGATAATGCGTCTCATCAACCTTGAGCGAACCATTTTTATGATTTCCAAGATAACGAATCTTTATTCAACGGTTCAAATGGATTTCATTGGGTAAATTGAACTAATTCTTTTGTATCAAAGTTGCATGAGAACAATCACCTTTTGACCACCTCATGCAGAGAGGCAAGCGTCGTTCGCGATGCATTTTTATTCTTCGCTTATTAAGGTCTCATTACGCTCAGCCTGGCATCGCCCCACGTTTCCTAAGCACCAAATGGTCATCACAAATGCCGAGTGATTTGAAAACAACCAGTAGACGTTGTTTTTCATATTTCCAAATTGAACGGCAATAAATACTAATGTCGTACACCTTAATATTCTTGTGATCGTCGTCTAATCCAATATATTTAAATTTGTTTCATTGTTGTATTTACCAAATTGTTGGAAGTTTAGAGTTTTTTCTTTGTTTACTTATCCATGCAAAACCTTAATACACCACTATCTTGATTTTCGATTTGCATTCTTGTGATGCTAATTTGGTGTGTTCGGACTATTTTTTCCTTCAATCGAACTGATAATCTTTTTTTCCTCTTACTCACATATGCCCTCCGCATTATTTTTGACCATAATAGTCTTCAATACAAGCTAAACTAAAAAAAGAGATGTGACCTGACGCAGTTGGTCCGGGCAAATGAATTGCGCATCTTGTATGTATCTTTCATGTCTAGAAATCATTACCGGACTCCGAGAAAAAATTCAAAAATACAGGAGCGAGGATAAACCCTTTTAAAAGTGGAACTTCAAGTTTCGACCATGATTAAATTATAAAAGAGTTGGTGTTGGGACATGAATTCAGGAATCTTTGATTCTCGAATCATTGCCTCGGTTATTAATAATTCTGCGGGTCTTGCCTACGCAATGCACGACGTCCTTGGAAGTTTTCTTAATAAAAAAATTTATTTATTACATCTCAGCATGCAATCCACTGTCCGATTGTCGAGGTAAAGAAGGTTCAACGGAAAAAAGAATAGAAATTCCATGAACTCAAGACACAAAGGAAAATAGCGAGCTATTGATTGATGAAAGGATAATTTCGTGGGAAAATGCAACATAGCACCTATTTCTAAATATAAATAATCTGTAAGTAATTCCGTGATTTCCAAAAATAGTGTTAATGTGTTCTTTGCAATCGAGCAAATCGAACATGCCTTTTAAATTGATCTTCATAGAACACAGTCTTTATCCAAAGAGTACTACAATGCCTTCTTTAAGATCGACGTTGTTCCCCAGTCAAGTTTCTAATTGCATGTCCATGAAGTCGAGGTCATATTGGCAAAAGACAGAAGAACGAAAAGTGTCGGTGTGGACAGCGTGCTCTCCGTGACATACTACGTCCTCCATTGACCTCTTTAATACCTCGAATGCCTTACCAATAAACCTGACACCAATTAGGTTATAGAGCAATTGACCTTGAAATTGTGTTTAAGAGGAAGGTGCCACAAAGTTTCCTTGAGTCATCAAAAATAAACGCAGCCGAATTGAGATTATCGTAGGATAAATCTTTACCACCGACAAATTATGAATTCGTCCGGAAGACAAAATTAAAGCACCTCCGAGCACAACCTTGTCACGTGATACAAGGTTAAGAATCAAATAAATGGTGAGATAATATCTAGGGTCGTCATGTCATGTTTATATTGCCATTCTCTCAGATCGATGACGAGAAAGTTCTTTTCGAAAAAACCCTTTCTTGTCGATTAATTTAAATAGAAAAAACAGCTTTCTATATAAAACCATCAATGTCATGTGACTTATTGGGAATTTCATATTATTCAAAGGCATATTGTTTCTCCGGTTTGGGTATGTGATTTTTGCGTGTTCTGTGTACGTGCTAGTTATGTCATTGAAGATCCCCTTGGCTTAAATTAGCGGAGGACGCCCAAAATCAGGTACAAGCTTGTTGTTCTCCAGCCGCGTATTATAAGAAACCAAAAGGAATGTTCTTATGATTTCCTGTGGGTACTACAATCTTTTAGAAAGAAAGTAGTTGAAGGGGATTCTGCTGTGACACCACATATGATCAGTCTGGACGTGATTATCACATTGTCTCACAAAAGTATGTGGGCGCGAAAACTTATGACTAAGATAGAGCGGTAAGATCATCAAACGTGGACGCGGTTCCACCATATTTCGACAAACAATTGTCAACTTGCGGATGAACTAAAAAAAGGGAAAAACCCCCATTCCAATAATTGATAAAATTGTGATGTAATTAAGTATACGTACTGCTGGAACAGAAACTTTCTGTCCAGATCTAATCCTTCTATGAATCCAGGAGAATGATTTTAAGTATACTTCGTTACATGAAGGCACATGAATTCGCGTGAATTTCGAGTGTGTGGTAGCCAATGCTAAGGGCGCAACTCGAACAAACACAATATTCTCTATTGTTGTCCATATATCACGAGCCGTAACGTTAAAAAAAACATATCGAAAATTTCAATCTCGCCTTCCTAGTGGTTAGGATTATGCAGTTATGTGTACAAGCAAGCATCGTACGTATTTCACAACAAATATTAAATGCGCCTGGAATTTTTTTTTTTTTTTTTTTTGTGGAATGCACGTATTAGTCTTCGTTCAACGTCTTTGATCGCTTATCCCGTTACGATTAGTTTTGGTGAGAGAGACACAATATTAAGGGTTTTTTTGCGTTTGCGTTCCCTGAAAGAACGAGGACTACTGTATGATACGTGGAATGTTACCTTTCGCTCAGACGAACGATCTACATAAGAAGGCCTTCCAAAGATGGGAATAAAAATACTTGTTGAATAACACTAGGACTTGTAAGTTTGCTTGTTGAAAGTATTACATTACGTACATAGATTATTGTCTATTATTATAATGTCTGTATTAGTATTTATTACAATTCGATTATACCACCTATTAATCTTATAAGTATAAATAACCTACCCGAAATAATTTACTAAACTAGTCCGGTTTAGTGATTCGTGACAATTTTGTAGAAATTAAATATACTGTGTGTGTGTGTACTATATTTATGAATAAATTATCACGTATCATATAAGTTAAAAATATTTTATTATCATAATAATGAAATATATAATGAAATATA